TCACCAACCCCGGGGGTGGGGGGCAGCACAGCAGACCCGAGGATTGAACCCCAGGCCCCTGTACCTGCTTGCAGGTGCTTTAATCCACTGAGCTATTTGATTGGTCCACAACACTTTTTTCTTTTTTCTTTCTTTTTTTTTTTTTTTTTGGCAGAACCGGGGATTGAACTCAGACCCTTGTGCTTGCTAGAGAAGCGCTTATTCCACTGAACCATCTTCCCCAGCCCCACAACACTTTTTTCTTAAGAATCTGTACACTAGTGTTTTTTTTTTCCTTAAGAAATTGTAAATTATTGTTTACAGTAATTTTTCTTCATTAGCATACTCTACTGACATTTATGTTTTTCTTAGATTTGTTTTCTTCCAATTCTATTTTGATTTTGCTAAATCTTTTTACATGACGATCTTAAAATTCTAAAATATTAATATTACTGAATAACAGTAATTATATATGGTAACAGTGGTGTGAATTATATTTTCTAAATTATCAATAGATGCACAATGTACATACAGTAGTGTTACCCAAGCACTACAGAAATATGGATATATAGTACATCATATGTTTTTATAGAAAAATATGAACTATGTCTTTAAGTACCTCTTGGGCTTATAGGCAAAGTAATCTATAAACAACTAAGCTTAATATATGAGATGCATAACCAAATGAGAGCAATCACGGAAGGGTTGTCATATCACCAAGGAGTTTGCACACAGGTAGAGAAATATGAGATAGGCCAGCAGGCTACAGACATTCCTAGGGCTGGAGTAGTTTGGGAAAGCTGTTCAGAGTTGGTAGTTGGTAAACTGGATCTTAAAAAAAGGATGAATTTAAAAAGAAATAGGATGTTCTAATCCAAAATAACAGTATACACAAGGATCATAGAAGGCAAGTGCACAGTTTATACACGGGAGACAGTTTGAAGCAGAGTAGATAAGATAATGGAATATTGGAAAAGGTAACGGGTGTGATTCATAATATTGCATGTTACATTAACAAAAACATTCAATATAAGCAATAATACCAGCCAAATAGCTCAGCGGATTAAAGTGCCTGCAAACAGACGCCAGGGCCAGAAGTTTGATCCCCAGGCCTGCTGTGCCAGCCCCGCCCCCAGGCTGCACTGAGACAGTGATTGAGAGTGGGCATGGTGACACATGTATGTAATCCCAGCTCTTGGGAGGCTGTAAACAGATGGATCACTAGGAGTCCAACCTAGTAGTGAGACCCTGAACACCCTGTAGACTCTTACCTAAAATACACAAAGCAATAATGAAATATTTGACGTGGGAATAATGTGACCAGGGGCATTAGGTAAATGAGCTTGGAAGCTGCTACAATTTGCATTTGAGGTGATACTGGTCTGAATAAGGAATAATGAAAATAGAAATATAGAAGTATGTTTATGTAAAAGATGTAGAGATCAGAACTGATAAAAAGTGCTTTATTTCTAGATACAGTCTTGTTTAAAAAGTCTTGTAAGAAGAGTCCTTACAAGAAGATAGATGGAAAGAGAAGACGTAGGAGATCAAGAATAGCATAGCATCTTAGAAGCCAAAAGGAGTAAGAAAGTAGATGAGGAGCTATGTTACCATACACAACTAAGATTGTTGGAAGAGTGGTAGCAGAGTCCTGGAAGGAAGCTGAATGGTACACTAGGGGTAATACATCCAAAGCAGTTCAGAAAACCAATTATGAAACAAAATGCAAAAATAGAACAGTAGTGAATTCAGCCTTGTGCATGTGCTGCTGACTTTGTCTGGCAAAAAAAGACTGATGTGAGATAAGTATGTGTAGAATGGGAAGTGTTTCATAGATAGATAGATAGATACTCATATAATATACTATAATATATATATATATGTTTGTGGAATAAAAATTTAGTAGTAATAGCATTGCTATGATTCTTTTTTCTTTCTTTTTCTTTTTTTTTTTTTTTTTTTTTTTTTTTTTTGGCAGAACCAGGGATTGAACTCAGGCCCTTGAACTTGCCAGGGAAGCGCTTACTCCACTGAGCCATCTCCTCGGCCCGCTGTTATTATCGAATGGAATTCCATTCAAACCAAATGTTCTCAGAGGGAAGCAAAGTTTCAACAACATGAATGGAGTAGTATTAAAGATGCAAAGTGAATAGCTTCTGACAGAAGAATTGAGCAAGACAGGGCAAGGTCTCTTTTCTTTTCTAATTAATGAAATAAGGAAGGATGAAGAAACTAACTGGGGCCAGGGAGATAGCTCAGTAGAATAAGTACTTGCCTGGCAAACGCAAGGGCCTGAGTTCAATCCCCAGTTCTACCAAAAAAAATTAAAATAAAAAAAGAAACTAACCAGAGATCTGTGAATCTTTTTCAGCTGCTTTCACTGCTCTAGGGCAATGTATTAAAGCAGGAAGAGAGAGCATCCCTTGAATGGTCACTTATCACCTCAGTCATTTCTATCCTTAAGACTCAGAATTCACAACAGATACTATAGATAAGGCTGTCTGTCCACCAAGTGGACTTTCAAGTAAAGAATGCCCAACATCACCATTACCATTGGAATCTTCATGCTGCTTAATAAGAAGGCATAGATTGGTCATCTTAAGTGGAGCACAAACTTGTCTCTTCACTACAGAACCTGATCTACCCAGTATGTGATGAAATGATGCTAAACACTGGGATATGGTGTTCAGCAAATGTGAAATTCTGCCAGCACACGGAGAGTATGTGCAGTACAGTGTAAAATGGGAGAGCACTCCTTGAAGCTGCCTGATCTTTTTTGGTCATTTCAAACTCTTGCTATTTTTCTTAACACAAAGAAAGTACTATTTAGTTATATACACCGAAGTTGGGGAATAGGCTAATGAAACTATGAATCAAGGATAATTTAAAAGAGCATGAATATTTTAAGATAGTACATCTAAGCATATGAAACAAAAAGACATGAAAATTGTTGGGTGTGGTGGTATATACCTGAAATCCCAGCACTCAGAAGGCTGAGGCAGGAGGGTTGTTGTGAGTTTGAGACCAGCCTGGGCTACAAAATGTACTCAAGGCCAGTGTGAACTGCACAATGAGACCCTGTCAAAAAGAAAGGAAAGGAAAAGAAGGAAAAGAGATGGACTATTAATTGTAGATTCTTGTTGAAGTGCTTTCTTAGTTAAGCCAGTGAGATCTGTACAATTTAAGTGCTGAGTACAAGGCCTAGCACATAGTGATGACTTAGCCATTACTGTTAATGTTTTAATCTGAGGGGCCAGGGAGATGGCTCGGTAGAATAAGTGCTTGCCTGGTGTCTTAGTTACTTTTTACTCGTTGCTAGGACAAATACTACCAGACACTCAAAATGAAGTAAGGAAAGGTTTATTTAGCTCACAGTTACTGGAGGGTTCAGTCCATATTCTGCTGGCTCCAAGGCAAACAACAGCAGTTCATGCAGCAGAAAACAATGAAGAGCAGAGGAGGAGCAGCATCTGCAGCGGCGTCCATCAAGCCTCTCTCTTCCTTCTGCGCTGACTGCAAAGACCAGCACTCCACAGTGAAGATCGGAGCTCCTCCAAAGTGGCACGGCTGCTGAGATCAAGCTCCTCCGAAGACTGAGACTTCTCTATGGAAGCAGGGCGGGGCGGCAGGAGGGAGGAAGTCTGGCAGGGAGGCAGGAAGCCTTTCTCAATTCCTGGACCCTGCCCACCTGCAGGGTGAGGCCCCCATGCTGACAGAGCTGATTCAGCCAAGTTGACACAATGTATCATCTAACACACCTGGCAAGTGCAAGGGCCTGAGTTCAGTCCCTGGTTCCACCAAAAAAAAAAAAAAAAAAGTTTCACACTAAGTAGGAATGGCTTGTTTATCCTTGAATTTCATCAATTTATTTTTGACCTATTATCTAGCCTTTCAGAATTCTTGTGAATCTCAAGTCTTTCCACTATGGTAATAGCTCCTTCCAAACTCTGTAAAATGAACTTTTAGTTTTGCATTGTGTTTTGGTGATTACTTTTCCTCCTCCCCAAAAAGCAAAATAAGATTCGATTCATCTTAAGGAAGTGCTGAAATATTCCATAACAGAAGACAAAATTGTGTCTTAAAATCAAAACATCTATTTGGAAAAGAAAAATTTTAATATTCATCATTATGGTAATTTTTTGCCTTTGTGAAGAAAATTTAAATTTACCAAAGTCGTTCCTTGTTGTCTTTTTTTTTTTTTTTTTTTTTTTTTTTTTTTTTTTTTTTTTTTGCAGAACCAGGGATTGAACTCAGGCTCTCGCGCTTGCCAGGGACACGCTTATTCCACTGAGCCATCTCCTTAATCTTGTGTTTTCTTGCCTACATGGACATCTTCCATTTATCACTACTAATTTTCCATAGATTATTTTTTGACTGTATATGAGTTTACAGCATTCTGTCTTTCATAATGTTCTTTATCCTGTCACTATTTTCAGTGTCCCCAATAGTGAGACAGAGATGGCAGCATAACATTCGCTAACAGCGTGACACCCTTTGGTAGAGCCACATTTTTGGGTTGCAGGTTAACTAAATTCATAAAGAGTAAGTAGATAAAGTTGTAGAGAAAACAAACTGTCTTTTTATTGAAACTCTGTGAAACACTTTTGTCACCAAACCTGTGACTGGTAGAATCTTATGGAAATGTGGGCAGACTTCTCTGGAGGCACTTTTTGGATTGAGAGCATATTTTACCAAACCTAGAAATAAATTTTTGTTTTCATAAATAAAATTGAAATATTTCCATGTTCGTGTCAGAAAATACAGTCACATGTATATCATAGGTATTCTGCAGAGATATTTTACTATAAAACTATTCTAATTTGAAGAACTTAAAGAGTTCAATAATAATTATACCTAACATTGAGCACTTCTCAATACCAGGCATTGTGCAAAATGTTGCAGCTATTTCATGTGACTATTGTAATTTTATGAGATAAATGTACTGTCATTATCATTACCATTTGTCAATGAGGAAACTGAGGCAAAAGGTCTGTAGACTAGCACTTTTTTTTTTTTTTTTTCCTTCAGGGGTGTTTATTTCCTGGTCAGAATAGAAGCAGGGATAGGCTCCTCTGCCTGTCAAGGCCTGGGCCTCACAAACACCACTTGGGGACCGGGGAGGGGGAAGAGGAGACATAGGAAACAGCTCCCAACTGTGTGTGCACTTGGTCCCATGTTTGTCCTGGCTGGGTCCAGGGAGGGCCTGCCTGGGGATGGTGGCACTGAGAGCCAGGGCAGAGGCAGCAGGCCACCTGGCCCAGAGGACGGTATGAATGGAGGCAATAAATACTGACAGGCCAGGCACAAGGTTTCAGGGCCATGGGGCCCAGGTGGGACAAGTAAGGCTCAGCAGCTGGCTTTGTCCCCCAAGGGCTACCTGTGGGGAGGGGGATGTGAGCACTGCCCAGGGGGCAGAGAAGGCAGAGCACACCTGCCTCCCAGATGGGGCTGGAGGCGCTTGGTTTTGGCAATCTGGCCCTCCCCGAGCCCTGGCTGGAGTAAGGAGAGGGCTGGCCAGGCCCTGGCAGGCTGGGCAGGAGCAAGAGCAGCACACCCTAGGCCTCCCCAGGTCAGTGGGATCAGACAGGGCAGGGACAGGGAGACCACATGCTCATGCAGACAAGAGTTAAGGGTTAGCGACGGCCCCCAGCACATGTTCCACATGTTAAGGCATCATGGTTAGACGGTGACTGACAGCGACAAATGGACTGGCCAGGGAGGGATAAGTGGACCGGCCAGGGCCCTGCAGTGCATACCCCAGCTCAGCCAGGGCAGATACGGGGCTATGTAGCCCCATAGCTCCTGGCCCTTCTGAGAGCCAGGGCCTAGTCTGGGCCTGGGGGAGATCACAGCCAGGGAACCTGGAGACAGAAATGGGGGGAGGTCGGGCTGGAGCCCCCCACCCCAACACGGCACAGGCAGAAGCAGCAACGTGACACTAGAGACCATAGGGGCCTATGGGCAGAAGGGCAGGGAACAGGTGGGTGGAGGAGCTCTCCAGAGATGGACCGAGGGGGGATGGAGGTGGTGGGGAGGGGCCCTGTCAGCACTTTGGTTTGGGGTGGGGAGGAATATGGGGAGGGTCATGTTCGTCCGTCCATCCGTCTGTCCGTCTACCCTGCCCACCTCCCAGCCAGGCCTCAGTCCTTCCATTCCTTTTTGATGGTCAGGTTCCATTCCCAGGACAGATGGTCAGTCTTGTCATCATCTGTGAAGCGGGACTTGATGTTGTAGCTGCCCCGAGCCAGCATGCCCTTGGGTGCTTCCTCCATGGGTGTCAGGAACTCGTACTCCTCTGCCCTCGGCCCGTAGCTCCCCACCATGTAGTCAGTCTTGTCAATCTTGACACCTTTCCGGTAGGTGTGCTGGATATACTTCATGCCAGACACAATCTCCCTGTTCACCCGGAAAGAGATTTTTATCCGGTATTCCACACCCTCTTTGAGCACGAAGGACTGCTTTTTGAAGCTTTCCAGATCACCTGTCAGATCCAACTCCAGTGGGCCAGGGGCTGTGCTACACACTAGGGTCAGACGGGTCACAATGACGTTGGGGCAGTTGGGGTCAGCAGAGACAGCCACACGGCCCAGCAGGGCTTCCTTGTACTTGCGCAGGCTCTCGTCGTCTTTGTCCAGCTCCTGGATCTCCTGGATGCTCTTCTGGGCAGGGGGCTTATAGTTGACTGAGTGTTCATCCTCCTCGTTCTCAGCTGCGATCTGGGCCAGCTGCTCAGCTGTGGGCTCCTGCTCAGCCATGCTCACCTATGGCCTGGGTCTGGGACACCGGGGGCTCGACCGCTGTGCTCTAGCACTTTTTGATAGATAAGCCAAAACTATCAACTCTTCAAAAGCAAAATCAGTTTAAATTAATGAACCATGTTACTCAGCAGCACAAGACAGATTTTTGTGGAAATTAGGAGTAGTACAAGTAACACTAACAGCAGTTAACACTTAGGAAATAATTCATAGTTTGAGAAGTCTGCATGCTGTGTATTATCTCATCTGATCTGTGTATATATATCGCTGTAACTTTTAAGGAGATGAGGCAGAGAATATGAAACAAAAGCTCTAAATAGCTGAGTACCAGAATGACAGCTAAAAAGGGCCATGGAGACCTGGATTTGAGACATAGTCCAGTATAGATTCTTTCATTTTAGAAAGTCTGCCAGAGAACCTATCAAAGAGAGTCGATTTCTACCATATTTCTTAGAAAATATCCCATCCGCACACTAAGACGTTTCAAACAGATAATGATTTGAGGTTAGCGGATAGAATCTTGGTTGATTTCCTGGGAAGCATGGCACTTCAGTTTTAATAACTGTGGGGTGCGTTAAAGACACATAAGTAGCATAGAGTAATCTGGATATGAGAAGAGGATCTTGGGGTTTGGTGGGAAGAAAGAGGCCCAGAAGCTGTGGTTTTTCTAGTGCATTGGCAGAGTCACCTGTGACCTTGAGAAAGGAAATTACAAACACCTGCTATACCTCAAACTATGCTGGCCACATGCCACAGACAGCTGTTTGAATGGTAGAAGTGAAGGAATTGAGAAGGTAGTTAAGTGTCATGCAAGAATGAGATGATGGAGCTTCTTCAATACCTAAGCATGAATGATTTCCCAGCTGATGTTCTAATCTTAATTATGCTTTTCTTTGTCTGTTCTACTAGAAAAAAATCTTTATAATAAGTACAACTGTTGCTCTTTAGTAACCTAAAGAACCCAAAACTTAAATAGACCTCAATAAAGTCCTGCCTTTCCCAGGGCCTTCACTGGCCCTTTCCACTTTTAATTTTCTGTCACTGCTAACTACCAGCTATTTGGTTCTTATCAGCAAATCTTGGTTATTTATTAGGCTTTTTTAATTCTTTCATGTCCCACATGTGTTGCTTTCTTCCTGTTTTGTATTTGCATAGTCTGACCTCTTTTGTCCATTATCATAACCAAAATCAAGACTGCTCTTAGGCACAAAAAGCTATGTCCTCTTCATCTGTATTTTTACAGGTACTGTTGCTTTATCCATCATAAGCCACTTCACATCTCATAATCATTATTGTGTTTTTATAATACTTTTAATTATAGTTTATAACAAATAGCAAATATATGAAAAAGTATTCAATATCATTTGTCATTCAAGAGATACAAATTAAAGTAATGCTGAGATTTAACCACACCCTAGAAAGAATGGGCTATTATTAAGAAAAAAAGCAATAACAAATACTGGAAGAGCTGTGGAGAAACAAGAACACTTCTCCACTGGTTATGGGAGCGTGCACCAGTGTAATCACTGTGGGAAGCAGAGGGGAGATTCCCAAAAAATTAGGACTAAAGATCCCTTTGACCCAGCTGTTCTCCTTCTGGGTATCTTCCCAAAAGAATTGGACTGGTGAGATGGCTCAGTGGTCTAAAGCACCTACTTAGAACAAGCTTAGCAAAGCACAGGGACCGCGGTTCAATCCCCCAGCACCACATGCCAGCCAGTCCCGCCCCCTGGTGGGCTGAGCTGCCCCCCCATAAATAAATAAATAAATAATTTTAAAATAAAAGAATTTAAAACATCATACCATAGTGATATATGCACACCCATGTTTATAGAAGCACAATTTTAATAGCTAAATTGTGGAAACAATCCAAATGCCAATAAACTGAAGCATGGATAAAAAAAATTACAGCTCATACCATGTAAACTTCATTGTTTTAAAAGTCTGTATTTCAAGGGCCGGGGAGATAGCTCAGTGGAATAAGTGCTTGCCTTGCAAGTGCAAGGTCCTGAGTTCAATCCCTGGTACCACAAAAAAAAAAAAAAAAAGTCTGTATTTCAGTGGTTTTGAGTTCATTAACAGAAGAACTCCCATACTTATTAGTAGACATCTCCCACAGTGTCCTTATTCCTGTAACCCCTGACAGCTATTAACATTCTTTCTGTTTCTATGCATTACCTCTGCTAGGTATTTTCTCTAAATATAGTCTCTTGTATCTGGCTTCCTTCACTTAACATGATGTTTGCAAAGTGCAGCCTTGAAATTTATATCAGAATTTCAGTCCTTCCTCCAGCCAAGTAATATTTCATTATTTGGATTATTCATCTGCTAAACCACTGATGGGCATTTGAAATGCTTCCATGTTTTAGAGATTATAAGTAGTTCTCTGTAAATATTCACAAAAAGATTGGTTTTGTTGCTTTAGAAGCAGTCTTCAACTCTCTAAGGAAATTGCTATATCATATAGTAACTGTTTAATATTTTGAAGAACTGCCAAAATCTTTTGCAGACTACCTGAACCACTTTAAAATCCCACCAGTCATGAATGAGACTCCAGTTTCTCCATATCCTCATTTGTTAGTATTTTATATTATTATAACTGTCCTAGTTGAGAGGAAGTAGTATCTCATAATTTTTATGTGCATTTTTCCATAATAACTAATAAGGTGCTCAACTTTTGAGATACCATATATGTTCTTGGAAGAAATTTCTAATTCAAATCTTTTGCACATTTTCTAATTGAGTAAATTATTTCATTATATAAATGAGATGTTTCTAAAATTAGCACTGTATATGTGAGATTTAGTTATCTTACCAAACTTCAAAATGAATTTATATTTTTACACTTAGAAAATTTGATAATGTATATAGCTGTGGGTGGTCTGTAGAAAGCGTTATTGTGTAATACTCAAAAGCTTTAGGAATTGAGTAATAATTATATCTAACTCTTATAGATCATTTACTCTATGCCACATATATAGCATATAAATATATCTATAAATTATGGTAAAAATCATATAATTATGCAAACTATATATAAACGTGACCTAAATTTATAGATCTAATTTAGTTTACCTTTTTATTATGATTTGAATACTCTGGATATGTCTTTTATTAAATACATGATTTGCACCTATTCTGTCCTATTCAGTGGTGGTGAATCTAAGGCATAGTATTTTATGTATACATGTCACTCATTTTTCTTTTTAAGTATGAGGTTTTTTTTTTCTAAACTATAATTTCACTATTTAGGCTTAATTGCAGTGTTGGCACTTCAGTAAATAAGTGGACTTTCATTTAAAGTTTGAGTTCTCATCTCTAAAAGCTTTGCCACTGCTGCTATAGAGTGTCTCTTTTTAATCACAACCTTTGAAGTACACAGTTTTATACTACCTTAAAACAAGGTTGCTTTTTTCTCCTCAAACTCCTTCTTGCCCATTTTCTAATGGAGTAAATCACCTTATTTAGTTACATAAAGAAGATATATTTTCAAAGTAACATTGTGGGGGGGGGATTTAGAGTTTACCAAACTTAAAAATAAATTTCTATTTTTGACTTAGAAAATTTGGTCACACATATGTATAGCTGTATGTGTTCTATAGAAAAGACTTCTATAGTATAAGAATTTTGTGTCTGTGTGGGTAACAGGAATCAAAATTATTTTCTCACAGTTGCCAGGCAGGAGCTATACCATTGAGCTATATTCTCTGCTGAAGCATACCATTTTGAAAATTTTGTAAAGTCCAATTCTTTCATTTTTTTTCCTTTGTCACCTGTGATTTTATGTCCCATCTAAGAAGCTGTTGTCTAATCCAAGATTACTAAGACTAAATCCATATTTTCTTAAGAGTCCTTGCCCTTGCCAGACAGACACTTAGACTCCTGAGCTATCTCTTAAGCCTAGAGGTTAAATTATTGATTTTGTACTCTACCATTTTAAACCTCTTTTTCTTTTAGTTTATTGAAAACTTAATTTTAGTAATATATAAAATCTTTGCTGCAATATAGGTTTTTTTTTGTTTTTGTTTTTTTTGTTTTTTACTGGCTAGCTCAGCCTACCCTTGGGGCAGGGCTGGAGCAGCATGTGGTGCCAAGGATTGAACTGTAGTCCCTGCATGCTTGCCTAAGCAGGCGCTTTAGACTGCTGAGCTGTCTCACTGGCTCAATATATTTCTTTTCTCACCTGCATGCTTTGTGCTAGTATCATATAAATTATTTCTTTATAATGTTGTAAGCCAGTGAATATATTTTTATAACTGTTTTTGTAATATTGTTTTTAAATCAGGTAGACCAAACAAATTACAAATGCATAT